ACAGACGACATCCAACTCGCTCAGTATTTGTAAGAGTGCATCGCCAAATAATTGAAAATGGTTTTGGAAATCTCCAAAGGGATCAAAACATAAATATTCGTCAGCGCAGATTTACCCGCGTGAGTTTGATAGAGATCCGACCACAAGTGTTAGGAGAGTTTCTGGTGCCTTGGGAATTTCAGCAAGCCATGTTCACCGTGTTCTTAGAAATGACCATAGACCCTTTGCAACCTGTGCAAGGACTACAGCCAGGGGACGGAGAACGTCAGTGGATTCTTGATAGAACTGATAATAATAGGGAGTTTTTAAGTAACGTTTTATGGACCGATGAGTCATGCTTCACTAGACGTGGAGTGGTAAATTTTCATAATCAACATATTTGGTCGCATGAAAATCCGCATGCAGTTCGGGAAAGAAATTTTCAGCATGAATTTAGTGTGAACGTGTGGATTGGTATCTACCGTAATCGACTATTTGGACCCTACCTTTTGCCTGCAAGGTTAAATGTTGCACCTTTTAAAGGCTGAACATGCAAATATGTGAGATGATGTTATGTTAGATTTAAGAAGATTGGCCTGGTTCCAGCTTGATGGTTGTCCAGCTCATTATTCGAGAATAGTTAGAAACTCGCTGGACGAAAATTATCCAGAAAGATGGATCGGCCGTGTAGGACCAGTGGTCTGGCATCCATGATCCCCTGACCTAAATCCATTAGATTTCTTTGTGTGGGGATTTCTAAAAGAAAAAGTGTACCAGTCCCCCGTAACCACCAGAGATATGCTAATAGACAGAATCAGGAATGCATGTGATGAAATAAGGCCTTATTTGAATAATGCTATACCACGTTCGATCATTCGTAGATGTGAATTGTGTATTGAACAATTGGGTTTACATTTCGAGCAACTACTTTAGATTTTGTATGTTTGTCCTAACTATCCAATAGCCTTTTAGTTGTAAATAATTAATTTAATTTCTTAAAAATAATATTGGAAAATTAAACGAATTAATATTCTGTTTTTTGTGTTTATTTGGAGTTAGGAATTATTGCTGTGTTTAAAAACACAATCTAAACGATCATCTTAATTAATTGTAATTCCCAAATCTAAAATGTAAAAAAAAATATTATTTTCCCATAAATAATTAAAAATGCATCGAACCTTAAAAATCGAAATAGCTCAAAAACGGCTAACTATAACGAAAACTCACAGGAGAGCTTTTTTATGCAGAAAAGTGCGAAGAATCAGTTTTTTTATTCAAAAAGCAAAAAATTGCACTAAGAAAAAAATTTCGGTCATTTTAATATACTACAGGTACAGTAGAGAGCGCCCTCTAGCGGCTACAGTAAAACTATGCCCATGGTTCGTTTTGTCGTACCAAAAAACCCTTGCATACCAATTTTCACTGTTATACATCAAATATTGTTCGAAATATTTAAAAAAAACTATTTATAAAAGTATTTCGGAAGCCACGAATTTTCGACCCATGTTTATATAGACTTTATGCATTGATTTCAAAAGTTCTATCGAATCTTAAAGTTATGCAACAATAAACTGAAACATCCTGTATTTTCCGATGGAAACGGAAATATGAAAGATTTGCTTTGTATAGTTTGATATGCAGGAGCCGAAGATTCATCGCTAAATGAACCTAGCTGATCACGATTCGATTTCGCCTTTTGGAACGAACTACCGGGGTTGGGAACATATACGTACGGTCTTCAATTGAATTGGGTATCTCCTGGTCAAGGATGTTAATCAGTGCTCAGTATAGGCAGTTTCCAAGTCGGACTTAATTAAATACAGTAACTGGACAGACGACGAAGAATGATCGATAAAAATGATGCTGAGCATGTCCTTTCCAGCAGTAAAAATATAAACTGAAGATTCAAACAAAGGATGTTATAAATCTAAACAGAATGAAATCAAGCCAGCAATCTCTCCTTCACTTCCATATCAGAAATGCTTATAATAGAAACATCCTGCCTCCTGGCACAATGCCGTACATCGAACTAAATACATGGTGGTCCATTCTCGATGCACATTTCAATACGTTTGATCAGTCTTTATTACATGGTTTTTCAATTTTTGTGTTTAAGATATCGAGATGCGGTCTTCGTGAGCTTGTTTAGACATCATTTAGCTACTTTTTCACAAAAAATCATACCAATGCATTTCATTTTTTTTTTAAATAACCATTTCGTCCTTTTCGGTTCGGCAACACTGCATCCACAGCAGTCGAGCACCGGTGACCGACTGAGTCGCACATGCATCGGCACGTATTATCGACTGCGACAGTTGGAAATATTTCTACTTGATTCTGCATTTTAAGGATACATATAGATGAGTGAATTATGTCTAATAGATGCCCAGAGTTAAGGCGGCTGTAGGCGTATAGAGACTCTATAACCGCCAATTCTTAAACGCTATAAACGTCAAAAAACAAAGTTTGCGCCATTTTGATTTTTTCCTATTTTCGCCCGTACCTCTGCCACCACTGGATCGATTTTTAAAAACCACAAAGCTTTTTCGTCCTTGGACTTGTGTCAGAATCTCATCCAAATCAGAGCAAGGACTAGCGGAAATTAACGCAAGTTTTGAATTAAGAAATAGAAAACACATAAGGCAACATAACGTCTCGTTTTCGAAATTTTTCTCGATTACAATACTTCCTCGCCAGTGCCTTAGGAGGAAATACGTCGTTGAGCCGTATTCATAAAAGAGAAGCATATCCTCGGAAGCATAAGGTAAAAGTATAAGGTCTTGCTTCGGAGAAAAAGGTAGAAGTATAAGCATATCATTGTTTTCATATTCATAATGATTACCTTATACTAGCGAGGATATCCTCCAAGAAGAGGTAAAAGGTTGACTGGTATTTGTATCTTGAGCGACATGTCTTGACTTGTTCCAGCTTGTAGTTGACGTGGGAGTTCGTTCACTCAGCATCACTGACAGTTGTACTCCAGAGCTTACACAGACCGCTCCGTCTTTTTACTGGGTACAGTTTTTTATCGAGTTAATAAGCATGTCATCCTCAAGTGATGAGCAAACTATAGAAAATAATGGCAACGACCTGCAGTTCATCGCAGATGGAATTGCCATTGCTCCCATTATTTTGCAAAAGTCGTTCCAAAAATAAAAATGAGAAAGGACGATGAAGAAGATGTTGAAAAAAATACGAATCAACATTAGATACCAAAGGCTTATTAAAAAAAATCAACAACATGAAATCAAGATTGAAGAAAAAACAGATCTAAAAGAAACTGGCAATAAAGCAATTAACTATGGAAGGTGCCTGTAATCCTACAGTTGGGATTATTCGAGGTGCCATTCAAGTTGGTAGTGTTCAAGAAGAAGGAAGTGAACTAATGGGTGATTTTTTTGCTAGTATCTTTTTAGCAACACTGTTTTTGACAGATGACGCGTGAATCGTGTCTTGTGTCATTGTCAAACTTGTTCAGTTTGGTCTATAATTTAACCATGAATCGACTTACGAACGAACAACGCTTGCAAATTATTGAATTTTACTATCAAAATTCATGCTCGGTTAAGAGAGTGCATCGAGCACTGCTTCGAATTTATGGGCAATTTGGTCGGCCTACTGAGGGAGCTATTCGGAAGCTTGTGACTAAATTTCGAACCCAGTTTACATTATTGGACATTAAACCACCAACACGCAGACGTAGAGTGAGGACTGAAGAAAATATTGCGGCTGTATCCGCCAGTGTTAGTGATGACCGTGAAATGTCGATTCGCCGCCGTTCGCAGCAATTGGGCCTCTGTTACTCCACTACGTGGAAAATTTTGCGATAGGATTTGGGTGTAAAACCTTATAAGATACAGCTGGTGCAAGAATTGAAGCCACACGACCTCCCACATAGTTTCTAATTTGGTGAATGGGCGGCCGGCAAAGTTGGAGGAAGATCCACATTTTTATCGAAAAATTGTGTTCAGCGACGAAGCTCATTTCTGGTTGAATGGGTACGTAACAAGCAAAATTGCCGCATCTGGAGTGAAGATCAGCCAGAAGCATTGCAAGAGCTACCAGAGCATCCCGAAGAAATCACTGTTTGGTGTGGATTATGGGCCGGTGGCATCATCGGGCCGTACTTCTTCAAAGACGACAATGGCCGGAACGTAACTGTGAATGGCGAGCGCTACCGTGTGATGATAATAAACTTTTTTTTGCCCAAAATGGAAGAGCTGGACTGGCTGACATCTGGTTTCAACAAGACGGTGCCACATGCCACACCCCACACGAAACAATGGCCCTATTGAGAGGCGAGTTCGGTGAACAGTTTATCTCACGTTTGGGGCCCGTCAATTGGCCGCCTAGATCGTGTGATTTAACGCCGTTGGACTATTTCTTGTAGGGCCATGTTAAGGCTAATGTCTACAGGGATAAAAAAGCAATGATTGACGCACTGGAAGCCAATATTGAAGCATTTATTCGTGAGATACCGGCCGATATGTTGGAGAGAGTGTGCCAAAATTGGACCTTGCGCAGGGGCCATCTAAAGCGGAGCCGCGGCCAACATTTACATGAAATAATCGTTAAACATTAAATTATATCGACCGTTCTATCGACTCAAATAAAGGTCTAATCGTTTTTTCAAATTTTTTGTGTTTTTTTTAAAATCAAATCCTATCCGTCTTAAAAAATCACCCGTTATATACCGAGCGCAGTGAGCAAACAGTTAGTATTACAATGCCAGCAATTCAGGAGACATGCCACCAAAAAGAAAATTAGCAACAGAGAAATACGAAACTGAGGAACCCAAAGGGTTAACTACAAAAGAACTGCAACATCTAGTGCTATTACAGCAATACCAAACAAGTATTTTACAACAAGAGTATTATAAAACGAAATTAGAAATGATGCAGCGTCAGAAGCCGCCTATAACTTATGATGTTCACGAAAATAAAACTTATTATAACTTATAAATATACTTTAATCAGTAAGACTATTTATTATAATACTCAAGTTTCTTCTTATTTGTTGACCTAGTTGGTGGAGAGGAAGTTCGTCATTCTCATGATTTCCTTCATCTTCATCTGCTTCTAGTTCAACTAACTCAAAGTCAGGATCGCCCAAGCTCTTCGCAACATTATGGAGTACACTACAAGCAATAATTATTTTCGGCAGATTTTCCAACTTGACGCGGCAAACTTACTGTTGGATAGGAAACCGGCGTTTCAGTTGGTCGAAACAGCGTTCAATTATAACTCTTTCTTGTTTTAAAAGCTTATTATAATTTATTTCTGCACCTGGAGTAGGATTTCTGAAGGGAGTCGTAAGGCATGGCTTAATACCATAACCGTCATCGCCAAGTCGTACAACATTTGCTTTATTCATTAGTTGTGATCTAGGCTGTGAATTTCTCCATATTCTGGAATCATGCACTGATCCAGGCCAACTGACATAAACACTTGTGAACATCTCTCTGGCATCACAAGTGGGTTGCACATTTAAAGTTTCGGTTGATATACTCATCTCCATGGCGATTTGGTTTCAGGATTCCTATATGTGTATAACCTTTGCCATATCCGCTTGGCCTCCATCAGTTCATGGTTGGTAGTTGGAAACTTGATCCATTCGTTCGACTGTGCAACTACGCTGTTCACAACTCTATCCACAGTCCGAGATACCGTTGCTTGACTAACACCAAGTTCCTGACCAATACCTTGTTGATATCCAGGGTCACCGAGATAGCGTAGACATATCTTCATTCTATGAATACATGAAAGTGCTCCTCCTCGAGTTTCCTCATTCTCAACTAAAAATCTGTCCGCAAGCCATTGTACATTTGCTTCGTCGAACCGATATAATTTTTTGAAGTCACGACCATGTGAAAGTAAACGAGGTTTGTACGTTTTAACACCCCTAACATCCACAATTTCCGCCATCATCGTTTAACCACCTTTCGTTATGAAGTTGAGTCTGCTACTGACCACACTCAGAATTTTGGAAGGACATGCTTCCTATGCCAAGTACAAGGTGAAGATTATGAATATCCTTTTACTTATGTCACTGCTTTGAAGGATATGCTTATACTCAAAAAGCAAAAGCATTTCAAATTATTATAAATGCCATCTGGAGGATTTCCTTCAAAATTTGCAAGTACTCGTACAAGGATATCCTTTGTTTTATGAATACGGCTCAATATTTCAAATCATTCATTAACGTATACTTTATCTGAAGTCACTTGAAACACTGTGAAATACCGGGTGCGTTTTATATATCTATATTTAACACGCTCTGTTGCTGCAAAAATCGCCAAATTTCGCAGCAAATATCCCCCGTATAAGATCAAAGGCAGTTTCACCGGTCCACGTGGAGTAAAGCACGCCTATGCGTGGACATAGCCAATGAGAAAGCGTGTATTTCAGAGCTCCGAACAAGTGCAGGTGGCTACTGAAAATTGAAACAGTTTAGCCAGTGCCGTGTAGCGGTGAATAAACGTGTTTTCTTTAGTCTGTCCGTGTTTTTTCATAGATTTTATTAGTTTGTGTGTTTTTGACTTTTGAATACTCAGTTTACTTGTTGATTTAATTGTAGTGTTGATTGTTCTTGTGTGTCCTAAATATGGCTCTTTGGAGACCTTGGGAAAATGCTCCAAGCCACGAGGAGATGGTTGATGAACCTGTGCAGGCAGAATTCTTCCATAAAGATTTAGAGGAACAGACCCAAAGAGTAATCCTAAATATGTATGATTGTCTGAAAAACGAAAATCCAGATTCCACGCAAAATCAAATTTTAAACTGAATTTGTATCCTGGCAAAAATCAGTCGGTCTACCATTTATCGGGTTATAAAAAGGGGAGATGTAGTCAACGATTCCTTCCACAGAAAGCGCATAGGGCAAAAATTAAAAAGAATAGACGTGGGTTTTCAGGAAGATATTCGTCGTATAATATACGGATTTTATAAAGAAAATTTGGTGCCCACGTTGGAAATGATACGGGATAAATTAAAAGATTATCCTGAAGATTTTTATAATTACAAATGCTTAGACACACTGCACTGTATTGTAAAACTGTGTGGTTTTCAATAAAAAAAATTAGATAAAAGAATGGTGATTATGGAGTCGTCTCGAATCGTTGAGTTGCGCCAAGAATTTTTGCACAAAGTTAAAATCTATAGAGAGCAGAAAAGAATTCTGATTTACCTGGATGAAACGTGGTATGATACCCATGCTGTTGTGCAGTACGGCTGGGTTGACGACAGCAACAAGTGCATTTTAAATGCACCATGCAACCGTGGAAAACAAATCATTATTCTCCATGCTGGCAGTGAAAATGGATTTATACCTAATGCCTTGCTGTTATCTGCCAAAAATATCAAAGAATCATGTGCCGACTATCATGAGGAAATGACCTCCGACTTATTTGAAAAGTGGATAGAGCAGCAGTTAATACCAAACATTTCCCAAAATTCAGTGATTATTATGGACAATGCGCCATACCATTCCCGACAGAAAAACAAAATTCCGAATACAGGCACAAAAAAACAAGACATTATTGATTTTATGAAGGATAAGGGAATGGAAATACCACAAAAATCAACCAAAGCCATATCATTGGATCTTATTAAAAGACAAAAATTTGAAAAAGAGTATGTTGTTGACAATCTGCTTCAGCAAAATGGCCATGAAGTATTACGTCTACCTCCCTATTACTGCATTTTTAACCCGATTGAGTTGGTCTGGGCTGCTTTAAAAAAAAAAGTAAGAAAACATAATCAATTAAGTGAATCGCTATTGGCCACAATAAGAGATGCAGTATCTCATATTGCTGCCACAGACCTATGGAAGCAGTGTTCTAGGCATATTATTGAAAAAGAAAATGAATATTGTGTTTTGCCTCCTGTAAATCCCGTTGTAATTCCTCTACAAGATGACTCTAGCGACAGATCCGAAGGCGAGGATGATATATAAATACCTATAATGTAAGTCTTTATATACCTTTTTATATACCTACCTGCTATGTAAATATTTGCCTATGTCAAACGTTGGAATTCTGTAATTTTTCCATTTCTTAACTTTCAGTCAACATAAATTAAACTCCCAACATAAGTATTTTTTATCCCAAATCAAAAAATAAGAAGATAGTAAAATCCATTTATTGTGATATAAAAACATTATTATTATCGTTCTAAATAAATGACCGCACGCCTATGATACGTCATGAAATTACAAAGGACGCGCCGACCAAAGGTTTTTATGCTATTTCAAGTGACTTCAGATAAAGTATACGTATTCTACTTGGTCACATAAAAAATCTGTTTTATCAAAATACTCTGTTACTAATATGTTAGTATCTAAGTTGAACGTCCTTGTATAATGTATGTATGAATTGAGGTTACGACTAACTTCCGAAATGATATGATCGTACGCATTGACGCATCCGGTGTTATTGTTCTGCAGCATATTATTGTGTACAGCGAAGTCATACACTAGCTTCAGGGGAGCTACTGTTTGGACCAATGGTTTGTTCGTACAGCCTGTTTGCTGACAATCAGCAAACTGATAGTCGGTGACAAGTCATGATCTAGTTTACGCAGTTAACTGTCACTGAAACGTCGCTGACTGTATTAATTGTCTACATGGGAACGTTACGAATTGGCCGAGGGAGGTCAGACCGATTATCGGCAACTATTCCGCTGTTCGTACAGAAACTTCTGACTGTTTGATGACTGTCAAATCAGTCAGCAAATAATGTTTCAGTAAATTGTCAGAGCTCGAAATCAAGTACAATAATATTCAAATGTAAAATTTTTCAGAATGAAGTAGACAATTTTTAAAAAGTCGGGGGTTCATTTGCTGTAAACGAGAATGATCTAGGATTGTGCCAGAATTTTCCTTTAGAGAGGAAACCATGGACACTTCCTAGAAAAAATAACAGCACCCAAAAATGTCAAGTAGGTTTACTCAGTAATTACCATTCAATTCTCATATGTAAAGTATAAACATAAATTCGATGAAATATGAATCCACACATCGAATGACAAGTTGAAGAAGTAAATAGTAAGAATTCTGAATAAACGTCTGCAGTGATTATGCATGAGAAATGTACAATGTATTGTGAATGAATTTTAATAAAACTCGGATAGTAGAGTTTTTGTTCCCTGTTCCCTTGTCAAAAAATCACGTTAACACGTGCAGCCCGCTGGGCCAACCCTAAAATCTTAAATGGAAAGCGGGGTCGAGTGATACCTTATTTTAAAGGTATTTCAATTCCCTTTATAATGATGTAAAATACATGAGCTTCAGTTCAGTAGTTTTGAAGATTTATTGATTTAAAGCTTAAAGTAGACTTTAATAGGTACATCAGATTAGTTTGTACTATTTTCAGAAGAAATTCGACTAAAAGAATTTACTTAATAAGTAAATGCTTTTCTTCACTACGCCCATGGTTTGTTTATCATTTTGTTGTTGATAATAGCTATTGGACCGTTTTTTTGTGGCAAAAAGTTATTTCTTGAAGAAAGATAAGGAAATATCTCGTACTTATTTTAAATAGGAATTTAGTACATAGTTTGTAATTGATTTGACCAAACTTTGTTGCTAAAATAACTGGTAACGGTTTATTACATAAATTAACCATGGTATATTCCACAGCAGAAAGAGTTGAAATTATCGAAATATTTTTCGGAAATAATCAGTGCGCTAATAGAACAGCAGAAATATTTAATGAGCGACATGAGAACAGTAACGTGCATCGAAAATATGTTCTAGAACTTGTGGCTAAATTTCGGGAAACTGGGTCAGTCAAGTTTATGTAGATCCTACGTTAAGTACCCGCAAATTGGAGACTGTGTGTGGTGTTAGTCGACGTACTGTCCAACGGATTCTAAAGGTCCATAGTTTTCATCCGTAAAAAATTCACCTGGTACAAGAACTTAATGAAGACCATTTTGATCGGCGATTACAATTTTGTGAAGATATAATAATAATAATAATAATAATAAATGGCCTTTATTCGTCACACGATTACAAAATAATTGGTTTAAAAGGAACAGTGACGAAAAGGTGGAGTGTCAGCTTATGCTGTTTTTCAACCCGACCTGGAAAACATTGACACAAACTATAGAGAGAGAGAGAAAAAAAAACTCAGAATATAACACTTATCAGAGAAAGGAAACAATCAATTACCTGTGTATACAGGGTTATCCAAATTAAGTGTCCACCATTAGTAACTTTGTTATTAGTGAAAATACAAAGTTGTTTGAATTAGCAAACTAGTAGCATTTTTAACGCTGGTAAAAATGAGAAATAAAAAAAAACAATTGAGAGTCGTTATTTTGATTTTTTTCAGTAAAATAACATTTTTTTAAATGGAAACCCCTGTATATTAT